ACATTTTATTCCTAGTAACACCAGGGCATTTTTCCTTACACTGATGATTGGGAATTTTTCCTCCCATGGACCCCTGACATTGGGGCATTTTTTACCTTCCACTGAATACTGACACCAGGGCATTTTTCCTTCTATGGCAATTTTTCCTACAACAGACCTTTGTTGACAAATGTACTTTTATTTTCATTTCTTACTGATGCCAGGGCATTTTCAATACTCCCACTTTGATCATTTTTATGCTCCAACTAAACAGCAACATAAGGAGCACTAAGTCACATATTCTAAATCACTGGACTTTATAAGCTTCACATTTTCTATCCTCCATCAGATGCCACTTATGTTGTCAGAAAGGAAGTTTTTCTAAATTTATATGCTAATATCACATGGATTTCACATGAAGTAACAGTTCTATTAGACACCAGCATTTATGGTATCAAAACCTGCAGATGGTAGACACAAGTGAAACATGAGCCACTCAACACAAGACAAGAGGTCAGTGTCTTGGACCTAGTGCCAGGACCTAGTGGTGCGGCGTTTTTATGTTCTGCTCCATTGAAGCGTAGGTTTCATTCTAGGTTACCATTGCTTAGAGAATCCAGTTATTTATGACTCTACTTTGTCCCCGACTGCCTTTACCCGCTACTTCACTGTCCAGGACATTGCCAATAATTTCAAAAACAATATAGATGCTATTTGTGATGAGATTCCACTGTCCAGTTATTTTCCCCAGTTAATATATCATCTCCACCATCTTTGGACCATGTCATTACATTGCAAACCATTCTCTAACACCCACCTCACCACTTGCCTGCTGGATCCTGTTCTCTCATCACTACTCTAATCACCCTCTAGATCCATCCTACACTCTCTTACTCACATATTCAATCTTTCAGTCTCTACTGCCATCTTTTCCTCCCCTTTAAAACATGCACTGGTCTCACCATACCAAAAAAACCCTCACTGGACTCCATTAACCTGAACAATCTAATACCAACCTCCTTGCTCCTATTTACCTCCAAACTCCTAGAATGCCTAGCCTACAACTGCCTCAGCTGTCACCTCTCTTTTAACAACCTTCTCAACCCCTTACAGTCTGGATTGTGCCCACAACATTCCACTGAAACTGCTCTCCTAAAACTCACCAATGATTTACTGACTGTTAAAACAATGGCTGCTACTCTGTACTCTTACTTTTAGACCTTTCTGCAGCCTTTGACACAGTTGACCATTTACTTCTCCCCAAAATACTCCACTTCTTGGCCACCAAGCTCCTTTTTACCTACAGCTCACCCCTTCAGTGTCCTTGTGCATCACTAGTTTACTAACTGACAGTATAGATGTGACACCACTTCTTAGAACTCAATCTTTTAAAAAAATTAGCTCATAATATTTCCTCCCCCCATGCCCCCAACTTTTTGATTGAGCCCAATAACACCACTATTCTCCCATTCCCCCATGCCTGGGAGCTAGGTGTAATCCTAGACTCTGACCTCTTAGCTCCCCTGTCAGGAACCGGATCTGAACCCAGGCCCTCTGCTGTAGCTGGCAGTGATACTACCTGCTGAGCCATCTTTGAACCTTGGATAGCTCCTTGCCTGATCTCCTGTGTAATCCTCAGTTAAACCGAGTTTCTGCTGAACCCTGAACTCCTTGCTCCTCCCTTGTACTTTCTATTTAAGCCATGCTATTGCACTTCCTGTTTGCCAGAGTATTGTGCTCCTGCCAATATCTTGCTTCCTTGCTCCTCCTGTGATACAATCCACTTATACTGCTACCTGTGTACCGACCTTTGGCTGCTGATTCACTGACTACTCTCATCGTCTTCCACTTCATGCCTGATACCTTTGGCTACTGACCCTGTGTACCAAACTCAGCCTGTTTGACTATGACTTTGCCTGCTGTTTCAGCTACTGGACTTCGAGCCTGATCCAGATCATGGCATCCCCATCCAATCACTGTCTAGATCTTGCCACCTTCACCTCCATTACATCTCCAATATATGCCCCTTCCTATCCAATGACACCACAGAGCTACTAATCCACTCACATGTTATCACTCATCTCAACTATTGCAACTCCCTCATTGGCCTAACTCTATACAGGATATCCCCCTTTAGGGCCTGTTCACACGACGTCCGTTTTCTGAGCTGACCTGATCCGTACGCTCCTGCACTAAAAATGCATCCCAATGTATCCCTATGTGTTTTATGGGCTACAGTTCTCACGTGCACAGTCCGTTCAGGTTACGACAGAAAAATACTGCATGTCACATTTTGTACGGTCAGGAAATGGTCCAGAAATGCAAAACGCATTTTCACTGACTTCCAGTTGCCCAAAGAATACAATTTAAAATATTAACAATTACTTACAAAGTGATCCACAACCTCCCCCAGCTACATCTGTAACCTCATCTTAAAATATCACCCAACCCATCCTCTATGCTTCTCCCAAGACATCCTGCTCTCTTGATCCTTTGTAAAAACCTGTCATCCTTGTCTCCAGGACTTCTCCTGAGTCTCTCCCATCTTCTGGAACTCCATAACCACAATCTCTGTGACTATTTCCTTCTCTGTCTGCCTTTAGGTGATCACTAAAAACTCATAAGGGAAGCCTATCTCGCCTCCATCTGACAACTGAACTTTTTACTTTCTACCACCTTTTTTTATCATGTTCCCCTCCCTTTTATATTGTAAGTGCTGCATAAAGCTTCATAATCATCTTGTCTTGAAATGTATTGTAGCTGTACTGTGTCTTCCTTTATATTGTGAAGTGCTGCATAAACTGTTGGCACTATACAAATCCTGTATAATAATTATCTTAACTGATTTTCTTAATGCATTGCAATTTGATAGAGTTAAATAGAATTATTTCACATTATCCAAAAAAAGAAACCATAAACATTTTTGTATTTCCCTGTTGTAATAGTGAAAAATTATGTAAGCCTTAAGGTATGCCACTAGTGTCTTTCCAGCATGGTAGCAGTGTGTTAAAATGATTTGCTGCCAAGTCTTTATGAACTAAAAGGAAACTAGATAAATAGGCATTTATGTCCAAATCTCTCCGTTGCCTGTCTAATAACCTTCCACACTGAAAACTTTCTAAATGTTTCAGACTAAAAATAAATATTCTCATAAGACATAAAACTCCATATTTTGCTGTTTACATTTTGCAAAAAAATGTCTGTAAGTCTAAAATGTCTGTAAAACAACTTGGAAGTTTTTACTGCCATATGTCCAGATATATAATATGTGTGCTGCAGGCTTTTACTGACTTTGTTGACTCATGCTACCAGGCATCTTGGCCAGCTAAACTATAGCAATTTCCTGTTTGTTCAGGAACATTCACATTTCTGTGCAGCTCGTAATTCACAACATACAAGAAAATTGTGTCTTCATTTTTTGTTTACTTTTATTTATTGTTAATAAAATATGTATTCTGTTTGTCAGTTGCATTGGAAATTGGTAATGAGTAGTCTCATGAATGTTGATTTTGGAAGATGGAATTTGCCTACAATTTTTTACATGATGAACATTAGGAAAATGTATTCACTAAATGTAAAATACAAATTATGTAATACGCATACATATATTAGGGTGCTAAAAAAGTTATATTTACCTGAACCTTGGAGCCAGCTTGTTCTTAGACTGGTTCTTCCAGCCTCTCTCCCCCTCCCCTGTAGTAGTCTAAGGTCCCATAAATCATCACATTCTATACACAGTGTATAGACTTGAGGATACTGAGGAACATTCCAATGCTGCAGTGAGTGTAGGAGGAGACAGGCTTCAGATACCAGAGAAGGAGGGAGCTGACCCAGCACTTCGGATGAGTATAACTCTTTTTCTTTATCTCTCGCCTGTGGTCTAAGGGTTATTGTGGTTGACACTTTTTAAAATCTTCAACGCATCCTATAAAAACATAAATTAACAGGAGCCAAAAGTTATAAGATGGAAAAGCAATACATGACTGTAAGATATTTTATGAGTAATAAGTGTATTTTTTTCTTATGTGAAATGTTTTTCTTTTGGTTAACTAAATGGCATAATTTATTTCAAAGTCTTCTACAGTAATTCCCCTTTTGTAATGTTATGTTGGCAGCACATAAACATTTAAGCTTACACCATCATATAGCACAAGGTACCGTGCTGTATTAGTACAACATAATTATTGCCAATTTAATATTTTTCAGATTGTATTTAAATGCGAGATAAAAAGGTATTAGTGTATTCATTACACTAAACTATGCTCTTCATATACTAATACAGGTAGAATAACTTTTGACAAGTAGTGCAAAGCCAAACATCTGGCTCCTGCAGCATTATGTTACTTTTCTTATGTACGTGTGTATGATAAACTATTTTCATCTTTTCCAATAATAAATTAGAAATATAAAAAATTGCATGAAAACTGCATTGTAAATAAACTACCATTATTTTTATTAACTCTCAAGGAGAATAAAATGTCAGATAACAGTTTTTTACAGTACTGAAGCAAAGAAAAAGCTCCACACTTTCTTCTATGCATCAATATCCATTTCCTGCTCTGTTGTGGCTGTTTGTAGATAGTTGCACTGCCACTAAAGATGTGAAGTTCATACATAACTATTTTGGGTTTGGATTCATTAACCAGGCCCAACTAAAACATAATGACCATAAAGTCATAATGAATTTCTATAAGCTTAATTGCATATAAAAAAATGTTAAATGCCACATGCAGTGATTTCAGATAAGAATGTGGAATCATTCAAGAAGCTCTTGGACGATTTTCTTAGAGACCATAACATACAGCGGTACAGGTACTCCTAAGAGCAAGATCACACATGGACTTATACACACGCACACACCAGCAGAACCATAAATGCATACACACAATAGGTTGGACTTGATGGACTTGTGTCTTTATTCAACCTCAAATACTATGTAACTATGTAATATAATCTACAATCTTTACTTGTCACTGCAAGGAATGCAGAATAAAAATTATGGTGTATATTCATTCTTTTAGGTTCTCCATATAGGGATAAAATAACCATAGCCATTCTTCAGCTACAAGAGGAAGGAATTCTCCATATGATGAAGGAAAAATGGTGGAGGGGCAATGGGTGCCCTGAAGAGGAAAGTAAAGAAGCCAGTGCCCTAGGAGTACAGAATATTGGAGGCATTTTTATTGTTTTGGCTGCTGGACTGGTCCTTTCAGTATTCGTTGCAGTGGGAGAGTTCCTTTACAAGTCAAAAAAAAATGCTCAGCTAGAAAAGGTAAGTTGGCATTCAAGAAGACCATCCAAAAGTAATAGCTAGTAGTAGCTAGTCTCATTTAACTGGACTCCTTCTACAATGTTGAACATTAATATAGTTGCTAACATTTGGAAATAATTAGGACAAACGCATGAAAGGTTTGAAAACAAAATGTGGTATGCAAAGCACATTGTCCACCAGACTCCTGCGAGCATGGCAAAAAAGTGGGTATTACCAATAAAGTGAACGGCATATCATGGTATGGCTTGTAGTGTGGCAGCTTTCCACTTTGCTTTTCTGAACAAAATGGGGCCTGAGGGTACACTGAAGAGACAGTGAAAAGAAAATTAAACCCAATTGTGGTGTCAATGAGACTAAAAAAAAACAGATTTTTTGGCATCTGTAGGATAAAATACGTGCTAACCATTGATGTCAGTGGGAAAATATAAGTCCTATTATTGGTGTCAGTGGGAAAAAGTAAATCCCATATTGTGGTGTCAATAGGATAAAATAGGCCCCATCTTTGTGTTAATTGGATAAAATAAGCCATGGATTGTTGGTGTCAGGGGGATAAAAAACAAAGCCCTGTATTCTTATATATACTTACCCGTTGCCATCCTCACTATCCTTCATCTCTTTATCCCATCTCCCACTTTAGAGCTTTTCCCCACAATTGTTACTGCATTCAGTGCTTTCACATACATTTCCTTCACCTCCCCCATTGCTTTTCTTGACAAAATAGACCCCCTTCCTCCACACACACACACACACCACTATTTGCAATTGCAGGAGATGGGAAACTGTGAGCAGCCCAGAGGACATGCAGGGGAAGGGAGAAGGGGTGCCACACACCATCATATACATAAGAGTGCACACAAGATAGTCACAAGGCCCTGGGCACAAGACAAGCAGACTGCCAAGCTCCTGGATTCTTCAGGACAGCCCAAGGGGCATGAAGACTGCAGGACACAGCCCAGAGTTTTGAGACTGTTCCACATGATCAGGGACAAATGGAAAATATGCATTACAGAACAAGTCCAGTGGAATGTGACTAACTACTGCTAGCTATACCATGATCTGGATAATTAAGAACCTTTACAGACATCCAAAGCTAATGTTTTAATTTGGGTTAGGCTATATGTAAGGAGCTTTGTGTGCAAAACTATATTTAAAAGCAAAATCCTCTGTGTTTTAGGTAAATGTTGGATGCTTCTTATTATTCTGAGAAACGCCAGTGGGTAATTTTGTCCCTCTACTGTAGAGCTTTATGTCCTCTCTGTATCATAAGGAGTTTCAGTCTCTCTGGTGCACAGTTTCTCTATTTTATCAAGGATCTGTGCATTTATTGTATACAGTATTTTTCCTGCACTAGCAGGTAAAACATGGTATTCAGGTCTAACTGGATATAATTCCAGGGTCAATATGGGATTTACTAAGATGCTATAAAAAGGCAGATTGCTTAGTGGTACTATATGCAAGCGTCAGAAGCAGAAGCCCTAGTTTAACATACAGTATATTGGAAAATATGATGTACTGGCTCTCACTCCTGGATTCAGACCATTCCATGTGTGTTATAGCATGTGTGGTAACATACAAGCACAGGTGTAAATGGGCCCATACAGTTTGCCCTTAGAAATCAACTAGACTGCAGCACATACATGTGATCCAGTCACAGAGGAAATAATGAGATTTCTACTTATTTTGCTGCATGAAAAGAGAAAAGTGTAAATAAGCCCTAACTCATGATAATTCAAATAGACACACACATCGGTTATGATCAATTCACAGACTCTGTTTGCAAGAAGGAAAAAAATTAGTATATATTTACTAGATTAAGGTTGGTACAGAAAGGGTGTAGACTGTAAAAGTCATAGTGCGGATAGTTATTAAAGCATGCCTTGCATGAAAAATGGAATCCAGTATAATTTACATTGATCCCTTAGTTATATAAAGTCAGTGAAATGTATAAAAACATTACATGTTTTGTGTTCTGGAATGAAGGACCTGATCTTATTCATAATCAGTGTGAAACTGATTGCATCTTGAAAACAAAATCTTGATTTTAAGACATTTCTGAGTTCTTGGCATTGTGAAAGTTAAATGTATGGTGTCAACAATCTCCCTCTTCCAGCTATCTGAGCTCCCTGTATGCCTGTGCATGTATGATGTTTTGGGAGACTTCAGAGGCTTTGGCAAAAGAAGGTATTAGGAAGAAATCTATTAATACATTGTCTTATACATTGTCTTAGGCAACAAAAATAGTATATAATTATATTAAGCTGAATAGTAGATACAAATTGTATTTCATGCGATGATAATAATAAAAAAAACTTACAAGTTAAGATTTGCTTATACTTCAGGTCAGAGGTACTGTATGTTTTGTTCGAGACCATATAATATAATTTTCATTAATACCTAACATACCTACAAAATGTAAACTTAATTCTTAGTCTATTCCTGAAAACAAACCCTGTAACTTTAACTAAAAAAAGTGAAGGATAGAAGGCAGTGGGCAAACTCCTAAACTGCCAGTATGTGTCAGAGCTTTGCTTAATCAGAATAGCCCTGCACTTGGGCGGAGTGGGAAAATTAAAAGCTGAATTAACCTTAAGCACCTAAACTTACTCTAAAATGTTACCTAACACATAACCCCCTAAACTTTAGTCTTAACCAAACAAGAAAACAGCCAACCGACACTTACCTTGTCAGGCAGCAAATCTCTAGGTGCTAATAGCTCCTTCTCCCACACCAAGATCTACAGTGTCAAGATCACAATGTGTGAAGCCACAACTTTGCCAAATTCCTTTCTTTATTAAGTTGTAACCTGTTTGATTGTCTTTAATTGTTAATTTATTGCCCAATTTTCAATAGTCGATATACCAGTATAAAATTATGTATCTAAAATAAAGTAGTTTTAAATATTGCCTCAGTGTAGAATAACACATCTGGCTTTAGTTCATATGGTAGCACAACTGAGATGCAATTAATCACAGATATTTGTTAATGCATTGCTTTTCCTATAGGCTGCCTCATTTATTCTGGTCATGGACAGCTCAGTGGGCACAATCTGTGGTCACAGAGTGATCAAAATCACATATATAGCTTTTTCCTTACTCATCTTTTCTACTGAACTATTTTTTTATTTAGCTCTTAACCACTTTAATCCCCAGGCTTCTTTTCTCATCATATCCACTTGAGTCCCACAGTGCTTTTTTAATTTTTTATTTTGGTGATGACCCTGTTTAGCATGTAATATCGTTGCAGTTTTCTAGACTAACCTCATGTCTATTGAATCATTTTTTTTCAGGGCAGATAGGGCATTCATTTGGTAGCAAATTTGAATACATGTGTTTTTATAATAATAAATAGTATTAAAAAAATTAGAAAATTACAAATGCATTTTCCTGTAATGTTTACCAATGTACTAACTACTCTCTGCATGTAATCACTATGCAAAAGTGTTTACATTTGTTTCTACAGCACACTCCTATGGAGTGAGGTGTAGAAGCCTTGGGCTTAGTACATGATCTCAGGTGTCACATGCAGACAGCGGTTCCAGTGTACATGCCAGAAGGTGTTCACAGGACCCACTTTGCCCAGCTTCTATTTTCAAAAATTGCATTGGGATGAATATAGTAGCTGCTATCCCAGTGCCATTTAAAGTCAGTGCCTGGTACTCAATTGGTTAAAAATGTACAGCTATAATAGTTAGAAGATTTCTTTTAACAGCCTAGTTTAATTAAAGGCATAAGAAAACAAGAAAAAAATAATGCATCTCTACACTTGTGGAAAAAATATTTAGCAAATTTTATCAGCTCAGCTATTTGCACTGCTTTTCTTAAACCACAAACTCTTGCATTGCTTTCCTGTATTTTTGTATGCATTGTAGTTGGTTGGAAAGGAATGTAGCATTAACATTGTTTCAAATATTAATACTGAAAAATATGCATGTTGAGCAGTTATAGAGTTAAATACTTCCATTTGCTATTTTTTGCATACAATGTAATTCATCTTTGGTAATGTATAAAAATGGGATAAATGTAATGTTATTTAGAAGAGATCTAAGCAATTATTTAAATCTACCCCATTTTTAAATTTTTAAGTATTCCCAAAAAATCCTACATTTTTAAATTCAACTGAGTCTACTATTTCAATTGGATGCACTATTAGAATTCTTAGAGGGTTATTTACTATTGAGCTGAAGCATGTAGCCATAGCTTCGGCTGATTCTTCAGCTTGTTTCGGTTGCCAAAGCCCTTCGGTACAGTCGAACCGAAGGGCTGCTGTACGGTCTATTCACAATAGTCATACAGCAGCCGGAGGCATCCGAGCAGCTCAGCTTAGCTGAACGCATCTGCGTTCGACTTGGCTGAGCCATAATGACTGCAGAAGCGGGTATTTTGTCGCGTGCAGTCAGGTCAGTGGGCGTCAGGTTTTTTTTATTATGTTTTATTTTTTTATTTCATCGAGGCGTCATCGTCATGGACAATGCTGCACGTCATGATTGACCTTAGGATTACGTCAGTGCATCCATTTAAAAAAAAATTAACTGCCTCTGGGCCGGCCGTAGTAAAAAAACGGCCGGCCAGGAGCTCTCTAGATCTGAGCGGGCGTCTTTTGACGTCCGCTCAGACACGCCCCCTCAGCCGGGAAATGGCCAAAATTTAAAAACAGGCAGCGATGCCTGTTAACATACAAGCGATCCGCCGGCTGTAGAGCTGGCGGATCGCTTGTATGTTGCAATGATCGGTGC